CCTATGGGGCAGCTCTGCTCTGTTTTATAGGAAATCCTGTGGGGCAGCTCTGCTCTGTTTCATAGGGAATCCTATGGGGCAGCTCTGCTCTGTTTCATAGGGTCACGATGAGTCGGACTCGATGATACACAACAACAATCTAACTCTTAGACCTTGAATCCCTGCAAGAGCCAGAACTTCAAAAAAAAAAAAAGTAGAATTCGTTATGTGAAAGGGAGGTGGCCTTCCAAGCAAAGGGGAATGATAGGATCACAAGTACAGATGAAGGATGGTGAGAAAAAGAGCTTGAATAAAGACTATGATTAGTTTTTAAGAAAAGTGGAGAGCAAAATTGAGTAGAGCCACTGTCTGGAGGCACTGGAAGTTGGGCAGAAGAGTTTAATCTTGATGTGGTAGGCAGTAGAGTGCTTCAGAGAACAGTAGTTCTGACATGGTGGAGTCGAAGTGCAAGAAAGAATAGTTGGGCCCTGATATTGAAGGGGAATCTGGAAATAGGAAAAGTGGTTAAAACTTTTGCAATACATTAGATGTGAGAGGTGAAAGGACACTGGTAATGGGAAGGAAAGAATAGATCGTAGATATTTCAAAAGACAAAAGGTCTTGGTGCCCAAGAACTGTGGAGAAAGAAAGTGCTTCCAAAGTTTGGCCACCAACGACCAGCAGGCTGGTGAGCCACAAACTATCAGAACAAGTCAGGAGGGACAGAAGAGAGTGGGTTCTGATGATTTCTGCAATTCAATTCATAGCAAGGCATCCATAGCTAATTTTAATTATGTAATATAGGAAATTTCTAGACGTACATCTCCAGTATACTGTTTCTGGGAAACCTAGATAAAAATGCAAAAACCCTGGCGTTCATTTCCCCCATTTTCAGGGGAAAGTGGCATTTGCATTCAACTCTAGAAAAGATGATAGATGCAAAATCCCATTACAGGGAAAAGTATTCTCTATGTTGAAGTCATTCAGTTTATAATCAAGTGATCTGTATAAACTGTACTTCTGTTTTCTGCATGTAGGCCGGGCATTCCTCTCCACAGGTGCCTCCTGTTTTCTAGGAGTAGAAAAGCTGATGGAGGATGAACCAGTAAGACCCATTTGCCTTCAAGTCAGCTTTGAGTCATAGTGACCCAGTATGTGTCTGAGTAGAACTGTGCTCCACAGCATTTTCAATGGCTGATTTTTCAGAAATAGATCACCAAGCCTTTGTTCTGAGGCACTTCTGGGTGGACTCAAATGGCTAACCTCCCAGGACTCTGGTGGAGGATAAAGACCTGCTAAAAAGCTTCTCTTTTTAAAGAAAAAAAAAAAAAGAAAATCTGCTCACATGCTAATGATTATCAATTCATTTTTTTCATTTATGATTTAGATAGCTTGAGAAAGATTAAACCTTTTAGTAATTCAGACTTTATTGTGAAGTACTTAAATCTAAAACATTAGGGCATATGGACAAAGAAAGAACTGATTTTGTAACATGTTATTAGGAGTAAGCAGGCCTGAGTGAGCCGTTGACATTGGAAGGGAACCAGGGAGGGCCAAAGAGAATTGGAAGAGTATCAAAGGTAAACTGCCACTGCTCTGCAGTTGTGCCCAGGACCTAGGGAGGTAGTCTTCACTGCCCCTGCTCCTTTGGCATTGGGCACCAATAATAACAGTAATAACAGCACCAGTGCCTCACATTTATATGCTACTTACAAGGCACCAGGCAAGCACTGTACTTAACACTTTACATCTTCATCCTCACAGTAACTCTAGGACGAGCTGATACTATTGACCCCATCTTATAGATCAGGAAGGAGCCCTGGTGGCACAGTGGTTAAGTGCTCAGCTGCCAACCGAAAGGTAGGCGGTTCCAACCCACCAGCCAGCCACTCCTCAGGAGAAAGATGTGGCAGTCTGCTTCCCTAAAGACTACAGCCTTGGAAGCCCTATGGGGCGGTCCTACTCTGTCCTGTCAGTTCACTATGAGTCAGAATTGACTTGACAGCGATGGCTTTGGTTTTGGTTTTTTTATAGATGAGGAAACTTAAACTGAAAGTCCCATAAAAGGATTTTTTGTGGTATCTAGTAATCTATTCAAGGGTCTTCTCTGTAATGAAAGAATTTGGCTCTTGGGGCTGATGGGAAGAATACGTCTGAGGTGTGTGGTAGCTGAACTGTTTATCCTCCCATTCCATCTCTTCTGTCTTTCCATTAAGTTTTCTACTCCCTTCATTTCCTCAAAAATTCCCACCACTGAGACTAACCAAGCCACCCACCCAAAGAAAACATCAAACATAAAGATCCAGAAACCAAGAGGAGGAAAGAACACTCATTTTTGTGTATTATCATACCACACAAAAACGGAACATAAGTTCTATTTAATTTCCAAGTCCTAAAAATGGAGATGTTGTTTTCTAACCACTGGTGGCGCAGTGGTTAAGAGCTCAGGCTGCTATCCAAAAGATCGGCAGTTCGAATCCACCAGTAACTCCTTGGAAACGCTTTGGGGCAGATCTACTCTGTCCTATAGGATCGCTGCAAGTTGGAATCAACTCGATGGCAATGGGTTTGGGTTTTTTTGGCTTGGTAGAGATCATAGTAATAGAATTTTACCTGTGTAATATATCCTTTAGGAACCCTGATGGTGCAGTGGTTAAAGCACTTTGCTGCTAACCGAATGGTTGACAGTTTGAACCCACCAGCTGCTCCATGGGAGAAAGATGTGGCAGTCTACTTGCGTAAAGATTATAGCCTTGGAAGCCCTACAGGGCAGTTCTGGTCTGTTCTGTAGGGTCGCTATGAGTTGGAATCATCTTGACAGCGACGAGTTTGATTTTTGGTTTGGCGCCATGGGAAGAACGAGAACCAGGAGAGACTGGGCTTTAGTCCCAGCTGCACCACACAGACCTGAAAGGTCCTAGAAGGTCACATTATCTCTCTGAACCTGATCTGGGGGAAAACTAGATTGACTTATTATTTTCAAGGCTAAATTAAACACTGAATTGTTCATCTTGGGAATAAGTACAATATTGTAAATTCTCAACCAAAAAGGCAGCATGAAGAGAGAAATCGTGAATTCTCAACAAGGGTGATATTACCCCCAAGGGAACAAAAGTTGATTCTGGGGGAATGAAAAAGTCTTACTCGTTTTATGAATAAAGCACAGACACACATAAATATATATATGTGTGTGTGTATATATATATATATATATATATAATAATTCTGTGGTGTGAAAATTTCAAGAAGAGGATGACTAAGAAAAAAATATCTTTAAAGGCTCCTTGGGAGGACAGTAATGAAAATAAGGTTGAGAAACTGATTTAAAGAATACGTTTTTATAAATGTAAACATGAAATTTAAAAGTTGAATTTGTAAGGGAATAATGATGCATAAAATGTTTGTCATTTATTCCAAACATCAAGAAACTTCATTTCAGATGCTTCACATATTTAACTTCAGCAAAATTTAGGCAGGTTTTAAAAGACCCCAAAATGAATGTCAAGAGTTAGCTGTTGACAAGGCCAGAATTGGCTTCAACCACAGGCTTCCAAACACTGATTTGGTATTTGCTTGTGATTTTAATTCTTATTTTTCTCATACCTGATGAAGTTGTGTACTTGTTCATATAGTTGTTGACCAGTTGGATATACTTTCTTGTGATATGTCTGTTCAAGATCAGCCCCTCCCCATTTTTCCATTGCATTTTCTTTTTGCTTTTGTTTTTGTTCTTTTACTGATTTGCAAGACTTCTTTGTATATTCTAGATATGAAGCCTTTGTCAGAATATGTATTACAAGTATCTTCTCCTGTTTTATTGTTTGACTTTCACTGTCTTAAAGGGGTCCCTTTTATTAGTGCTTTTTTGTGTCCTGTTTAAGAAATCTTTGCCTGTCCAAAGGCCATGAAGATACTATCCTATGTTTTCTTCTAAAAGCTTTATTGCTTTATAATTTACATTTAGATTTTTTGGGAATGATGTGAGGTAGGGATCAATCAAGAGCCATTTTTCCCCCCATAGAAATACCCAGTTGGCCCAGCACCACTTATTGGAAGGACCACCCTTTCTCAACTGCATTGCAGTGTTATCTTCATGATAACTCAAGGGCCCACATACATAGAGGTCTGTTTCTGGATTCTCTATTCTCTTCCATTTGTCTGTTTTTCTGTCCTTGCACCTGTAGGGATTTTTTTTGGGATCTAATTGATGTCTTCCAATCCATGACCATGACATTTTACTCTTCATAAATGAATAGTCAAATTGGTAACAGCATGCAATGGCAAATCCAGATACTGTTTTATTATAAATTCTAATTTTCTTTTTCCTTTAAAGGCCACTCAATGACAAAAATAACAACAGTGGGAATTCAGTGTTGAACAATAGCACGCCCAGCACACCAAGACAGAACATGTCTGTTCCTGTGAGAAAGCCTGGGCCGCTGCCTTCCAGCTTGGATGACTTAAAGGTGATAATTCCCAGTACAGCTTATTCACCGATAAGTCCCACAAAAATGTAAATGACTTGCCGGCTTTGTCTAGATGTAGGTAATTTTCAGTAGACATTCATCTTTACCAAAAATACGATAACCTTTATAAAGGCATTTTCTTATTACTTCCATTAAGTTCATTTTAAAGCAATCAGTATTGGCCAGGTACCATGCCAGTTCTGTTTGACTCCGGAGGCTGTGGGTTTTTGTTTCCTCCTTATCTGCTCAATGCCAACTTTGACAGAAGTAAGAAAATGTAACGGTCAAGAAAATGAGCTCCAGGGCCAGCCCTCCTGGGTTCCTGTCCTGGCTCAGCCTTCTGTTTTCTGTGCTGTCTTGGACAAGTGATTCGATCTCTCTGCCTCAGTCAACTCATCTGTAAAATGGGGAAGATAATAATAAAACCTATCTTGTGGGCCATTGTGAAGATTAATTCTTAGAGTACATGCAAAGCACATGGTAACTATTCAGTAACATAGCTGTTACCATCATCACCATCCTTAGTAAATTTTTCTTTGACACAGAAGAGGAATTACCTTCTAAAAACCCTTACTTTATCACTGCCCTTTCAATTTCTACAGGTCTGTAGTTATGTGTGTTTATATATGTTAAAAAAGAAAAAAAACTGTCCCACTTACAGGTATGCAACAATACAGTTATCTGACAGATCTGAAAGACACTTTTTCTGTCACAGAAGTTTACTTGAGATTTGTTAGGAAGTTGCAGTACCCAAAGCAGAAATCTGATTTGTTTGTGATATTCCTAGGTGTCGGAACTGAAGACAGAACTGAAGTTAAGGGGTCTGCCAGTGTCAGGCACCAAACCTGACCTCATCGAACGCCTGAAACCCTACCAGGAAATGAACAGCAGCGGTGTTGCTGCTGGCAGTATCGTGGCCGTGCCCACCCCTGCCATCGTCACCAGTAACCCAGAAGTCACCATGGCCTTGCCAGTCACAACACTACACAGCTCTGTGACTAGCTCAGTCTCCACGCTCAAGGCAGAGTTGTCGTCCACGGGAGCCAGCAGCACAGCGCACGTGGAGAGTGTGAATTCCCCTCTGCCCATCTCACCGTCCCCCTCCGAGCAGTCCAGCCTCAGTACCGATGACACCAACATGGCAGACACTTTCACCGAGATCATGACCATGATGTCTCCTTCGCAGTTCTTGTGCTCATCTCCTTTGAGAGTGACAAACAATGAAGACAGCTTAAGTCCCACCAGCAGTACTCTGTCCAGTCTGGAACTGGATGCCGCTGAAAAGGACCGAAAGCTTCAGGAGAAAGAGAAGCAGATTGAAGAGCTAAAGAGGAAACTGGAACAAGAGCAGAAGCTCGTGGAAGTACTGAAAATGCAGCTTGAGGTTGAAAAACGAGGGCAGCAGCAGCAGCAGCAGCACCAGCAGCAGCAGCAGCAGCACCAGCAGCAGCAGCAGCAGCAGCAGCGACCACTGGATCCCCAGCCCAGTGCTCCAGCTAGCTCTGCCAATAAGTTAGATCAGAAACACAGCAGTGTTGCTTCCACCGTCAAAGACGAGGCCTCGCTCTCCGACTGCTCGAGCTCCAGGCAGCCCATCCCAGTGGCCAGCCATCCTGGGGGCCAACCCATCTCTATGGGCGGCCAGACCCTTGTTGCCAAAAAGGCTGTAGTTATCAAGCAGGAGGTCCCCGTGGCCACGGCGGAGCAGCAGAGCCTGGTCTCGCAGTTTTACGTGAGTTCCCAGGGGCAGCCGCCACCCGCCGTGGTGGCTCAGCCCCAGGCTTTGCTGACGACGCAGACTGCTCAGCTGCTGCTCCCGGTGTCCATCCGGGGCTCGAGTGTCGCCTCCGTGCAGCTCCCTGTCAGTAGCCTCCAACTCCAGGTGTGAAGTGTGTCTCTAACTGCCTCGCCTCACAGCACGCCTTGAACAGAAGCTGCTAGCAATGGAATCGTACCTGAGCTTTTTTACACATGCATCCAAATTAGGTTTCACAATTGGAGAAAACTTTCAGGGAGGAGGGAGAGATCTTCAAAAATGTGAATAGCTAGCATTGTTTTACTGTGTAAAAACAAGTGTGAGGGGCTTTTCCATTTCTGTTACCTTTTAGTTTCTAATGAACATGGCCTATCATACATGTAGACATTTTAAAATACCAGTGACATCATCATCACGATAATAGCTGTTGCTTTTACGTACTTTTTATGTGTAAACAGCAAGTACGTTAAAGGACTTCACCGAGTCCTTCCAGAAGATCCCAGTGATAGGCCCATTTCTAGATAAGGAAACTGAGGCCTAGAAAAGTTCAGTAATTTGCCCCACGACACAGCTAGCATGTAACAGAGCTAATGTTTAAATCAGGACTTCTAACTACAGAGCTTTTATTCTTTGTTGTTGTTGTTAGGTGCTGTCCAGTTGGTTCTGACTCATAGTGACCCTGTGTACAACAGGATGAAACACTGCTCCGTCCTGCGCCATCCTCACAGTCGTTCTGTGTTTGAGCCCATTGTTGCAGCCACTGTGTCAGTCCATCTCATTGAGGGTCTTCCTCTTTTTCGCTGACCCTCTACCTTACCAAGCATGATGTTCTTCTCCAGGGACTGGTCCCTCCTGATAACATGTCCAAATTACATAAAACGAAGTCTCACCATCCATCCTCACTCCGAAGGAGCATTTTGGCTGTACTTCCAAGACAGGTTTATTTGTTCTACTGGCAGTCCGTGGTATATTCGGTATTCTTTGCCAACACCATAATTCTAATGCATCGATTCTTTAGTCTTCCTTACTCATTGTCCAGCTTTTGCATGCATATGAGGTGATTGAAAATACCATGGCTTGAGTCAGGCACACCTTCTTGTATCTGCCTCCCAAATTTAGTTCTGGAAAGGCCCCATTAATGTGAAGATACCTAAACTAAGGAAAAAGTGACTACAGATTTAGGACTGAGGATGTTATTGAAAGAGATTATAAAACGACTGGTGAGCATAAAATTGCCTTTTATGCCAACATGCCCTGTGTATTTACCCTCAGTGGTTTTTATGTCATGTGATTTGGGTAGGTTTTAACCAATTGTGGACCACAGGTAAACAGGTTGCCATTTGGACCAGTGCTCCTCAGCCTTGACTACCCAGATGCCCTTAACAGCAGAAGGGAATAATCCGGTACCCCTAGGGTTAGGAGGCACAACCCAAAAGCCTGTGACATGGAGATACTCTAATTCTCCTGTTTTAGCTTTAAAATGTTTATGAGTTTTCAAATCTCTTCCATAATATATCTTTAAATATATATATGTATTATATATATGCATGTGTGTGTGCATATACGTACATAATTATATATTTTATATATATAAAAAATTTTTTTCTGGTCCAAACTTCCAATAGAGTTATGTTCTAAGACCCAAAAAACATATTTTATTCTGGGGCTGTGTGTCCCCTGGCACACGGGGCTCTCTCCGAAGAATGCACAGCCTGCAGTTGGCTAGTTGGCCCTCACGAATTTCCTCGTTGCTGTTGAAAGTATTGCAGTTCCTGACCTGTGTGTACAGAGCCGTTACACTCTGTTGCTGTCGGGTCTATTCCAACTCATAGTGGCCCTGTAGGACAGAGTAGAACTGCCCCATAGGGTTTCCAAGGCTGTAATCTTTATGAAAGCAGACTGCCACATCTTTCTCCCACAGAGCGGCTGGTGGGTTCAAACTGCCAACCTTTCAGTTAGCTGCCGAGCACTCAACCACTGTGCCAGCAGGGTTCCTTAGAGCTGTTGTAGGTCCTTTTTATTTCAGCTTTCTATTTTCACAAAAATTTCAAATGAAAATCTTAGCCACTTAAGAAACAAGAGCATGAGAATAACTGGTCTGGTATTTAGTTCTGATTCAGAATTGTTAACGTGCAAATTTATGAGCATACGAATTGAAGTCGATTCGTCTAGAATACCAGTCAGCAGTCTATTCCTAAGCGTTCTTAGGATACATACGCCTTTCTCTATCTAAAAAGTCTGAATATAAGTACTCACTGAAATCTGAAGGTGGCCTTGCATGCAATCTGTAAACATTGTCTTATTTCAGATATAGTCCCCAAGTGACCAGTTATTCCACATCTAAACTCTTGGTTCTAACTTTGATTCTAACAATTAAATTGATTCTTTTTATTCCCCTGGTAGACTCCACCACAAGCCGGAATCCAGCCTCAGCCTCAAATAGCAACTGCTGCACAGATACCAGCCGCTGCCTTGTCCTCAGGCCTGACCCAGCCTGTTCCTCAGAAGCAAGACACTTTCCCACGGCACGTGCTCAGCCAGCCTCAGCAAGTCAGGAAGGTCTGTGAGCTAATGAGGAACAGCAGACTGCTGCCTATTTCCACTGTTGTCCCCGTACCCACTCCACAGGCGTCTGTATAGGAGCTGCTCAGCAGGCAGTGCCCGCTTTCCTTTTTCCATGTTCAGCCTCCCTAGGATGAGCCTCAGGTCCTGTGCCATTTGGCTGCAGGTTATCCAGTTATTTGGGGTAGAAAAGAGCTCTTTCTTATGAAAAGATAGCTCACCCTAACAGTCAACTCTTTTTTCAAAGAGAAGTTTCAAAAGTATTTTTTTAATCCTGGGTTTAAAAAAATTTTTTTTTCAAATTAATAATCACTCTATGGGAAAAGAATTTGCTGCTCCTTGAGAAAAGGTATTTGGAGATGAAAAAGATACTTCTGAACTTTTTATCTTGGTTAAGATCTTTTTGTATATACATATAAACATAAAGAAAACAAAAATCCTCACAACTGGACCAATAAGCAACATCATGATAAATGGAGAAAATATTGATGTTGTCGAGGGTTTCATTTTACTTGGGTCCACAATCTAGGCCCATGGAAGCAACAGTCAAGGAATCAAGCAACGTATTGCACTGAGCAAATCTGCTGCAAAAGACCTCTTTAAATTGTTAAAAAAAAGCAAAGATGTCGCTTTGAGAAATAAGGGACACCTGACCCAAGCCATGGTATTTTCAGTTGCCTCATATGCATACAAAATCTGGACAATGAATAAGGAAGACCAAAGAAGAATTGATGCCTTTGAGTTATGGTGTTGGCAAAGAATATTGAATATACCGTGGACTGCCAGAAGAATGAACAAGTCTGTCTTGGAAGAAGTACAGCCAGAATGCTCCTTGGAAGCGAGGATGGCGAGACTTTGTCTCATGTACTTTGGACATGTTATCAGGAGAGACCAATCCCTGAAGAAGGACATCCTGCTGATAAAGTAGAGGGTCAGCAAAAGAGAGGAAGATCCTCGACGAGATGGATTGACACAGTGGCTGCAACAGTGGGCTCAAACATAGCAAGGACTGTGAGGATATGCAGGACCGGGCAGTGTTTCATTCTGTTGTACGTAGGGTCTCTGTGAGTTGGAACCGGCTCGACGGCACCTAACAACAATATATATATATATTTAAGAGTTTGCCGACTTAGGAATTAAGAGCCAGAAGATCAGGTCTAGTTATCATTCTGGCTCACCACTTCTTACGTATTTGGCCTTTAGAAAAATGTGCTTACTTTCTGTGTCAGTTTCCTCATCTTTAAAATGAAGGTGTTGCTGTAGCACCGTATCCTTCGTACAAACCAGTTGCCATCAAGTCAGTTCTAACTCATGGCGACCCCGTGTGTGTCAGAGATGTGTTCCATAGGGTTTTTCAATGGCTTTTTTTTAGAAGTAGATCACCAGGCCTTTTTTCTGAGGTGTCTCTGGGTGGGATGTAATCTTTACAGAAGAAGACTTTCACGTCTTTCTCCCACGGAGCAGCTGGTGGGTTCAAATCACCAATGCAGCTGAGCACGCTAACCATTTGCACCACCCAGGGACTCCATCCTCTTTACAAGTTCTTGTTAAGTAGACCCAAAAGTTACCAGAATTTCCTTGAATCCAGTAGATGGAGCTATGGGCACATCTCCTTGCCAGAAAAATCTTAAGGCCTCAAAAATAGGTCTTGGTGTTATAAATCTTGAGAATAATCAGTCCCAGGGTTTTTATCTTCAACCTAAAAGAACCTAGATAATTAGGCACACCTGTCCGTAGGCCACGAGTACTGCTGTTTGAGCTAAGATGAGTTTAGGAACAGACAGAAACAGCCTCTTAGGTCAGCAACAGTCATATCTGTGTGTGTGCTCTCAGAATCACCTCTGAGAAGTGCAATGAGAAAGGAATTGTAGCTGCATTTATTTAGTTTGGGGAAGGCTCAAAATATGATTTTAGTGTAGTTAGAAGCTCAGTAAATGTTCAAATGTTAGGACAGTTTTCTTTGTTTAAGGGAGGAGAGAGAAAAACAATATATAGACAGGGTAAATACGGGCATCTTCACTAAGTCTCAGAATTCCAGAATTAGGAATGATTACTTCCAGTTTAAATAATTTTTTTAACAAAATATAAGGAAATGGTAATAAATTTATAGAATCATCACAGAGAGGTGGTACTGTCAGGGGAAGTGTACACATACACAGATTTTCATGCTAAAGAAATAATTGTAGATATTCACAATAAAAATATACAGGGGCGCTTTTTCTCTTCCAGAATATTGTAAAAACCAACCCGTTGCCATTGAGTTGATTCTGACACATAGCAACCCTATAGGACCCTATAGGACTTTTCTACTCTGTCCTATAGGGTTGCTATGAGTCGGAATCGACTGGCAGCAGTGGGTTTGGTTTGGTTTTAGTTTAGGACAGAATAGAACTGCCCCATAAGGTTTCCAAGGCTGTAATCTTTACAGAAGCAGTCTGACACATCTTTCTCCCGCAGAGTGGCTGGGGGGTTCAAACCACCAACATTTCCATTAGCAGTAGGGTGCTTAACCACTGTGCTACCATTGCTCCTTATTAATGGTATAAAGTATATTAAATATTTTTATGAGCAAACCAAGTTCTGTGAAATATAGTTGCAATATCAGCAGTATGGCTATACATTTGTAAAAGGCCCTAAAACCTTTGGATCTCAGTGTGGCCTAAACAACATTTTAAGGTGTTACAGGAAGAAATCCCCACTTCTGCCTGATAGAACAGATTCTCAGAAGGGGATGGATTTTAAATGGGGCCTTGCAAGGATTTCAAGAAGCTATGGAAAATTCAGTTTGACTACAGCATGTGTGAGGTTTAGTTAGGGTGGATGGAAGAGGGGCCAGGTACCGAGAAGGTTTCCATACCAGCCAGAGAGTCAGGATTCTATCCTAAGGATGAGGGGGCCAGTGGAAGTAGAGTTTGTAAGCAGGATTGTGGTAGTGACTCGGTCAGGTGAATGTCCTAAGAATATAATTTTGGTGGCGGGACCATAGGCAGGGAGCAATGGTGGTATTCTAGTGGTAGAAGTGAGGCCCTGGGTAAGGAGATCACAGGGCAGAGAACAAAGGGCTGATTCAAGAGACTGCTCTGAGATACGCAAGTGGCAAGTGCCGAGGGGAGAAAGCAGAGCTGATTGATGGCTCCGTTTACCAAAGTCGGAAACCCTAGTGGTGTAGTGGTTAAGAGCTATGGCTGCTAACCAAAAGGTGGGGCAGTTCTTCTCAGTCCTAGAGGGTCACTATGAGTTGGAATCGACTCAATGGCAACGGGTTTTACCAAAGTTAAAAAGAGAAAACAGAAGACAGAATCAGGGATGATTTTCCCTCAGAGGCTGAGGGTGACAGGAGGAAAGGGGAAAGTTTCGTTTGGAAATATATTGAATTTAAGATGGCTGGGAAGAGATTGTCAACATGGCTTTAGCGCTTGGGGTAAGGTTAGAAGTAAGGTGGTGGTGGTGGTGGTGGTTAGGTGCTGTCCATTCTGTTCTGACTCCTAGCGACCCCATGTACAACAGAACAAAACACTGCCCGGTCCTGCACCATCCTCACAGTTGTTGCTATGTTTGAGCCCATTATTGCAGGCCCTGTGCCAATCCATCTCGTTGAGGGTCTTCTTTTTCGCTGACCCTTTTCCTTACCAAGCATGATGTCCTTCTCCAGGGGCTGGTCCCTCCTGAAGACATATCCAAGGTACCTGAGATGAAGTCTTACCATCCTCGCTTCTAAGGAGCATTTTGTCTGTACTTATTCCAAGACAGATTTGTTCATATTTCTGGCAGTCCATGGCATATTCAGTATTCTTTACCAACACCATAATTCAAAAGCGTCAGTTCTTCTTTGGTCTTCTTTATTCATTGTCCAGCTTTCCCATGCATATAAGGCAATTGAAAATACCATGCCTTGGGTCAGGTGCACCTTAGTCCTCAAAGTGACATTTTTGCTTTTTAACACTTTAAAGAAGTCTTTTGCAGCAGATTTGCCCAGTGCAGTATGTCATTTGATTTCTTAACTGCTGCTTCCATGGGCATTGACTGTGGATCCAAGTAAAATGAAATCCTTGGCAAAATCATGAGGCCCTAAAATACTGAAATATTTTCTCCGTTTGTTATGATGTTGTTTATTGTTCCAGTTGTGAGGATTTTTACTTTCTTTATGTTGAGGTGTGAGAAGTAAGATTAAAGAGGTGGATTTGAGAGTTATTACCTTAATCATGAAAACTTAAAGCATTATACTCTGCTCCTTTAAAAAACCATCTTACGAGACCAAACGGTCAACATTTACTCAGCATTTACTCAAAAGCAAAGACAAGAAGGCAAGGGGGCAAAGAAACTAGATTACTGGAAAAGGAACAACCAGAACAGAAATAATGAGAAAGTTGATGCACTGAAAAATGTAACCAATGTCGCTGACCAAACTGTGTAGAAATTGTTAAATGGGAACCTAATTTGCTGTGTAAACTTTCACTGAAAACACAAGAAAGTATTTTAATTAGTTAAAAAAAAGAAAAGTTAAAGCATGACCAAAAAAACAAAAACATGACAGTAGATGCGATCACCCTAGTGAAGAATATAAGAAACTCAGCAGTCGTTTAAGGGGAAACAAACTGAGCAAATGCTGTACTCCCGCTGCCATCAAAGACAGGCTCTGAGGAAAGGGACCACTTATGCTCAAAAACGGGGCAGCAAATCATAGCCTGCAGTCCAAATTCAGCCCATTCCCCATTTGTGTAAATAGATTTATTGGAACACAACCATGTATTCATTTGCATATTGTCTGTGGCTGCTTTCACATCTCGACAGCAGAGTCAAGTCATTGAAACAGAGACCATATGACCCTCAAAGCCAGAAATATGTACTGTCTGGCCGTTTACAGAGTAAGTTTGCTGCCCCCAGCTCTAAATACCGGTTTTCTTTACTTCATCAGGAGAAAAGACTGATGGGGAAATACTTACTCGTTTCAGGTTTTCACAAACTCGGCATCACCTACAGTTCTCCCATACCAGAGACAGCCTGCTCCAGCGGTCCAGCAGCCTTTTATTAGTAAGACATCCAACAGCCTTCTCCAGTCCAGAAATGCTCCGCTCCCATCAGTGCAAAACGGACCCAACCCTCCCAGCAAGGTAATCCTGGGACGGCTGTGTGGCAGTGATGGCACTTATGTGGGCACAAGATCATTCCACAGCCTAGTGCTTGTAGGCTGGAATGAGGGAGTAGCAATATTGGGTAAAAGAGCCAAAAAGACCATGATAATAACTCGGTAAGGGGGCAGCTTAGCTATTATAACAGTGATGATCTTCCTTCCCACGTGGAATGATCAACCAGCATGGTCAGCCTCACAGGTGTTTGGAGGACTCCTTATGAAGAGCAGAATTTGGCTACAGCGGAGCAGGGTCTAGCCAGGGCACGCGGAAGCTTATTGCCAAGAGCTAACATGTGCTCTGTCTTTGTTTGACAGCCTAGTTCGCCCCCACCGCCTCAACAGTTTGTTGTGCAGCACTCCCTGTTTGGCAGCCCAGTCACCAAGACAAAAGACCCTCCCCGCTATGAGGAGGCCGTCAGACAGACTCGCAGCGCACAGTCCTCCCTCCCAGAGGTGAGTGAGGACATCACCGTGATGTCAGTGAGGCATAGTCCTCCCTCAAGAGGTGAGCGAGGACATCACTGTGATGTCAGTGAGGCACAGTCCTCCCTCCCAGAGGTGAGTGAGGACATCACCGTGATGTCAGTGAGGCATAGCCCTCCCTCAAGAGGTGAGCGAGGACATCACCGTGATGTCAGTGAGGCATAGTCCTCCCTCAAGAGGTGAGCGAGCTCAGTGATCACCACTTGTCAGTGATGTGTGTACCTTACAGTCTGGAGTGAAGGCTTATGTGTGATGTGTCATCCCCTCATCTTGACCAAACATCTAATGAATCCGTTATCTAAGATTGACTTGCCTCCATAGAAACACAAATTTTATGGTTCGGAGTTTTATTTACACTTTAAGTGGTTATTTAAAATCTAAATATCATTTATTTTGAAGAATCCTAAATAACTTTCAGCAGCTGTATAATCTGCCATCACTACTTATTCAGAAATTCAGGTTTTGTCTTTTAATTTTTCCTTTGGGTCGGGGAGCCCTGGCAGCACAGTGGTTAAGAGGCTGGCTGCTAACCGAAAGGTCCGCAGTTCGAATCCACCAGCTGCATCTTGGAAACCCTATGGGGCAGTTCTGCTCTGTCCTGTTGGGTCGCTATGAGTCAGAATTGACTCAACCACAACAGGTTTGTTTTTTTTGGTTTTGGGTCAAGGGAATCAGACATGTTAGGGATAGCTGCGATTCACATATTTTACACAGGTCCCTCTTTTGTAAAGCCGCTTTCTGTCAGGCTGGCATCAAAGTGGGACTCTTCCACCTGGCTGGCATTCTAGACTGTCCACCATCTAAACCCACTGTGTCCTGCTTCATTCATTTCGAGTTCCCCAACACCCTTTGAAGGTGACAGACCTGAAGTCCTCCATGCATTGATAACCACGTGGTAACCATGTGGCCTTGGGCAAGGTACTGACCCTCTCCTCTGAGCCTTCCTTGTTTCATTGATAAAATCGGAGTAGCAGCATCTGTCCCAAGGGATGGGAAATGTTAAAGTTTCTATTATTAAAAGCACCTGGCCTACAGTGGGTGCCCAGCAGCAGTAACACTTGTCATACTTTACCCTAAACACAATTCCTGGTCTCCCTACCTATCTAACGCTTTCTTCCAAGGCTTAAAACAAAACTCACCTTCAAGGAAGAACCCCAGCCTCATAGAGGATGATGACAAAGAATGAACCTGACACCATTCCATGGGTGATAAAAGTAAACAACAAGACATAATGGATCAGAGCAGGTGCATCCTCAGAGCTGCACAGTTCCCTTTGCTCCCATGTTGTATGGGGTAACTCAGTGGGGCCAGATGGTGTCTACACATGCAGTGGGTTGTGCTATAGCTAAGGAATACAAGACCAAGGGCTCAGCACCTTTTACAGCAAGCAGCGCACAGCCAGCCCCCTTTAGCCAGGGAGTGAGCATAGTCATTCTGTGGTTGCCTTAACCTACTTATTTACCTAAGTGAGCAGCTGCAGAAACTGCACAGTACTCTAGGGGACAGTGTGCAGCTTGGCACACTCAGCAAGGACATGCAGGGCGACCCAAGGATGACTGCCTCGCCGAGCTGAGTGGAGACCATACGATAGCACACGTGTGCGTTCACTTAGTGCAGTGGGAAAAATACCTTATCTAGCTGTAAAGTCTTCCTTTAGTTTCAGTTTAGCAAGAGCCCTTATCTGCGAGGGAAAAGCCAACTTTCTGAAAAAGGTTTAAACATTTGCAGTAAGAGTTGCGGTAGATTAGACTGTCCTCCCCCATTCAGAAGTGGTATCTACTCTCTTCACAGGGGAGCAGAGATGAAGGGAATTGCCAAGAGCTTCATTGCAATTTTTAAAAGAATAAAAAGGTAGCACTTATCCTTGCAGGCCTGGTCCTTGTGTTTAGTTAATATGTACTATTAACTTATGTAACAACCAAAAAAGGGAAAAGAATCTTTCACTTTAACTTAATAGTTAAGTTGGAATCCCTGGGATTTACACACATCTGGATTCATGTTTATAGACTGAGGGAGCCAAGTTCTGCCTTAGTTTACTGGTATCCAAATGAATAGCTATCTGTAGTACCTTTTCATATTCCATTGGTCACAAAACTCCAGGAATTCTGAGGTTTTGTTTTTTGTCTGTTGATTTTAATACATTTACTCAGACCTCCAGTTCCAGTGATGACTATCTCCCATAGATAACGAGTATAAATCCTGGTCATAATACAAAAAACAACTGCAGGAAAGGAATTGAAGAATGAAGAAAAGTAGGCATGTTCTAGTGAGGAGTCCGCACTCAGAGGAGGGGATTATTGGGCATGAGTTCTCTTTTTTTTTTTTTTTTTTTTACTGTTTTAATCTAGGGGCAAACTCAGTGGTGGGGTCATTGGTGGAAAAACCACAGTCTTTATGGCCTGGGAAACCAGAGGATTGAGTTGAGAGCCACCCAGAACAGAAAGAGCCAGAGAGAAGATCCCCAAATTCTGTCTGCCCACATCTCTGACTGAACCCTATGCCATACAGACATGGAGCAGACTCAGCAGCTCAGCTAAAGAGAAAAGATCTGAACAGAGATTGGAACTTCTGCCCAAGGAACATATTAAAGTCCAACCAAGTTAATTGCCTGCTAAAACAAAAGAAACAACATTCATCTGAGAAAAATAACAGAATCCAGAGTCTCCACAATTTAACCTCCATAACAACCATTCGTAACATGCTACATATGAAGAACCAAGAAAATATGACCCATTCTTAGATGAAAAAGGTGGTCACCTAAGACCATCCTCAAGCTGATCTAGCCGTTAGAATTAGCAGACAAAGATTTCGAAGTAGTTGTAACCATCCTCCGTGATGTAAAAGAAAATATGCTTATAATAAATGAAAAGATAGGGAATCTAAGCAGATATAGAAATGGCTTTTAAAAAGGAATAAATAGAAATTTTAGAACTAAAAAATACAATTTTGAAATGAAAAAAATTGCAGGTGAATTTTAACAGCAGAATGGAGATGACAGAGGAGAAAAAGTCAGTGAATGTGAAGATAGATCAATAGAACTTACCAATCTGAATAACAGAAAAGAAAACAATTTTTTTTAAGTAACTCAGAGACCTGTTATATAATATCAAATAGTTTAACATGGTATAATTGGAGTCCCAGAAGGAGTGGAAAGAGAGAATGGGGCAGGTAAAATATTTGAAGAAATAATGGCTGAAATTTTCACAAATATAATGAAAGACAAATTTACAGATTTGAGTTACCCAATGAACATCAAGCAGGATAAATAAGAAGAAGGCCTAGTCACGTCATAGTGCAACTATTGAAAGCCAAAGTTAAAGAGCGTATCTTGAAAGTATCAAGAGAAAAGCACACATTACTCAGAGGAGAACAATTATTCAATTAATGGTTGACTTCTCAAACTATGGAAGTCAGAAGATAGTAGAACAACATGTTTCAAGTTCTTACAGGAGGGAATGGGAGAGACTGTGAGCCTAGAATCCTATGTCCAGTAAAAAATATTCTTTAAGAATGAAAGTGAACTAAAAACATTTTCAGATAAAGAAGAATTCAGATAATTCATCACTAGCAAACCTACACAATGAGAAATAACATTGTCCTGTGGAGTTTATAACGTATGTAGATGTCATAACAACTAACAGATGGATCTACATGGTTACAGGGTTTCTGTGTTTTATACATGACGGTACAGCATTGGAGCCCTGGTGGCACACTGGTTAAGAGCTTGGCTGCTAACCAAAAGATTGGCAGTTCAAATCCACCAACCACTGCTTGGAAACCCTGTGGGGCAGTTCTACTCTGTCCTGTGGGGTTGCTATGAGTTGGAATCAACTCAACAGTGTGGGTGTGGGGGCGGGGGCAACATTAAGTAGACTGTGAGAAGTTAAAGATGTATATTGTAATACGTATAGTAAAAACTAAAAAAATAATGCAAAGAAGTATAGCTAACAAAGAAACAGTAGAAAAGTTGAATTAAAATTCAGATTGTTTTTTTAAAAGCACAGGAAAGGAAGAAGAGTGACCCAAAAATAGGATGAATAGAAAACAAAATGGTAAACCCATATCCAACCGTATCAATAATTTACATTACGCAGTAGTGGACTAACTACTCTAAAGTGCAGAAATTGTAAGATTGGATAAAAAAGCCAGAACCAGCTATATGCTGTGGGGTGGTTTTAAGATACGTCTGCAAATTTTTTGACATTTCTCCACGGGCTAGACTTAGTGACTTGTTTCTAATAAATAGAACTGGCAGAAGTAACGGTGGGACTTTTAAACCTGTGTCATAAAAGGCATGTCCCTTCTGCCTTGCTCTCTCTTGGACTGCATGCTGTGAGGAAAACCAGCTGTCTTGTGGACACTCGAGTAGCCCTCTGGGGAGGTTCATGTGGAGAGCAGCTGAGGCCTCCCATCAACAGCCAGCACCAGCTTGCCAGCCATGTGAGTGAGCCACCTTTAAAAGTACATCCTCCAGCCAAGCCTTTAGATGAGTGTAGCCCAGCCAACGTTTTGACTCCAACCTGAGAGACCCCAAGCCAGAACCACCCATCTAAACCATTCCTAAATTCCTGACCCGCAGAAACTGTGAGATAATAAATGCTTAGTGTCTTAAGCCACTAAGTTCTGGAGTAATTTGTTATATAGCAATAGATAACTAATGCATGTGTCTACAAGTGGCACATTTTAAATATAAAGACATAGGTTGAAAGTAAATGGTTGGAAAAAGATATAACATGCAAACAGTAAGCATAAGAAGGCTGGATAGGTGAAATATTTAACAGACATTTCACCAAAGAAAATATGCAGATGGAAAATAAACACATGAAAAGATGCTCTACATCATTAGTCATTAGAGAAAGGCAAATTAAAACCACTATATGATACCACTACACACTGTAAGAATGGCTAAAAATTAAAAAGGCTGACAATACCAAGTGCTGACAAGGATATAGAGCAACTGGAACTTTCATAAACTGCTGGTGATAATGCAAAACGGTATTACCACTTTGGAAACAGTTCGGCAGTTTCTTAAAAAGTTAACTATGTAGCTAACCTATGATCCAACCATTCCACTCCCAGGTATTTACCAAGGAGAAATGAAAACAAATGTCTATACAAAGACTTGTACAGGAATGTTCACAGCAACTTTATTTATAATAGCCGAAAACTGGAAACAACCCAAATGTCCATCAACAGGTATATGAATGAACAAACTGTGCTATTTCCATACAATAGAATACTTCTCAGTGATAAAACAGAAAGAACTATTGGCACTACGACGTGGATACATGTCAGAGTAATTATGCGGAGTAAAAGAAGCCAGACTTCCAATGCATACTGTATGAATCTATTTTTAAAAAAAAAAACCTCTGGAAAATGTAAACTAATCTGTAGTGAAAGAAAGCAAATCAATGTTATTACAAAGGGGCATGAGGAAACTTTAGGTGCAGTGGATATGTTTATTTTCTGGATTGTGATGATGATTTCATGGGTGTATACATATGTCACAACTTATTGAATTGTATACTTATATATGTGCGTATATATATGTGCAGTTTATTGTATGTCAGATAAAAAGCTGAAAAATATGTATAATCTGATCACATTTACACACACAAATGTTTACCTAAATGCAAATGAATAAAGACATTTTTAAAATAAAGTACTGGAGGGCTCTCAAAATACAGTCAGTGATAGAAAATAAGGGAAGTGTGGAAGTCAGCCGAGCTCAGTGCTAGCCCCATTCTTGCTGTGTCCACTAGCCAGTTGTGACACCTTGGGTTAAGTGGCTTAACTTCGCTTAATTGAGGTGATCTCAGTGTTCCTAAAATTATCCAACAATATGTTAGAGCTAGGTACGCTGTACGGTCCCTTAGTGCTCCCGGCTATATTATGCTCCCAGAACTGCATGAAAGGAAACTAATTCCTGTTCTCCTTCGTTGTAGGTTTCCAATGCACATAGTCAGCAGATGGACGACCTCTTTGACATCCTCATCAAGAGTGGAGGTAGGTCAGAAGTCCCATGAGACCTCACAGGGAGTAATCTCTTACCACAAGCACATAGACATTTATCTCTAGACATCATAACATACTGCCGAGTTCTGAGAAACGTATTCTACTTCTAACTGAATTTACAGTTTTAAAATCTGTTGAATTTAGGCCAGTAAAGCAACTTAACTATAAATGGAGGAAGCACTCAAAACAGAAATATAATGGTTGAATTATCCATAGATATATTCCTGCTGAAAGAGAAAAGCCATGTCAAAATAGCACAGTAGAACCAGATTTCATTTCCACATTGAAAAACTTCAAAACTTGTTCCATGTGTATCAGCCATTGTAACGGGATAAAACCATTCCTATGTATGCATTACGTTGGTGACAAACAGCTTACCTAGCTTGGACTCTAGTATTATTAAAATTCAAAGGTAAGGCTAAAACACTTTCTATGTACAATATAAAATCACAGGTATTACCATATTTAATCTTAAGGGATAAAGGAAGAAAAGGGTGGGGGGAGGTAAAGAATATTAACCACAAAAAGTCGAGGAGATCTCTGCCTCAGTTTACATATCATTAAAAATAAGTATAAAATCAATATTTCAAAATTCCAGATGCTATTTTGGAGTATTTTAAAGCATCTTAAATTATCTCACCAAAAGGAGTTTTATTTGGAGTCTTAAATTGTGGTCAAAATTTCTCCATTCATAGCAGGTACTATTTGACATTGAGGCTGATGTTCTGGTTGTAATGTTTGGCATAACATAGATAATTATTGATATTTGACCACAGATCTGCATGTGCAAATAGCATTTTTTGCTGACAACTCTGTTGGCCTTGCAAAATAGTTTAAGGTCATGGAAATTAAAGAAATAGACATTCCATGCCCTGATTTTAGGATTTAAAATTTTTTTTTTGGCCAAATCTGATAAAGATAAAAAGACTTTTTATAGTAATTAAAAAGAATAATTTTTACAGCCTAAACTTGAAAAATGTGACAAATTCATCAGTTTTGAGTTATTTTTTAAAGGAATATTTCTTTTTTCTGGCAAAGGATCCATTAAGTTTATTATTTCATCTTACTGTATGCTGCCACCAGTAATCACGAGAACCAAGATTTAAGTAGCTGATTATAAGACTAGGCACTTGGATTGCATTTACAGCTTTCAAAACATTTCTAAAGATGACTATGGATAACTGAAAAGTAACATAAACTGTCCTAAAAACTCATGCCACATACACAGTTGACAGTTCACATACAGGATTTGATCATAAGTTCTTTCTGTCACCTACTTACCCATCCCAGTCATTGAGCTTTAAGAGCTGTCACTCAGTCCATTTTTCCTAGTGTAGCTGCATGCTATAAGTATGCATATAAATGAAACCAATCAGATACTTATAAGAGAGTAAAAAAGATACTTTATTCAAGTATTTGTAACTAAGTGAACACTGGTGCCTGTAGCAGATGGTCCGTTAATGTGCTACTTGACTGGGCAAGGACTAACACATAATTAGTGCTTACGGACACATTTACCAAATCCTTACGATTTTATACAAACTCAAAACGAGACAAAAAAGAGACAAATAAGCAGGTGATCCACATCATCTTAGAGAAAATTGTCAAGGGAGCCACATGCTAGCATTAATGCAGAAATCACATAGATGGATAGTACCTTTTCAGAAATTTATATAGAATGTACATGGCTAAATCAGGCACACAGTTCAACTATAATGATAAAAAAAAAATGTAATATAATGAGATCTTTCATAATATTAAGGACAGACTTCCTGTATATACTTCTGTCTCTAAAAAGCTCAGAATATGCATTTCAACATGAACTTTAAAGACGTCACACTGCTATGATAAAAAACCTACCGCTGTCGAGTCGATCCAACTCATAGCAAACCTAGAGGACAGAGTACAACTGCCCCATAGAGTTTCCAGGGAGCAACCACTGGATTCGATCAGCTGACCTTTTGATTAGCAGCCAAGTTCTTAACCACTGCAGCACCAGGGCTGCTATGATAGAAGGACCCAAAGATAAAGTAATCTAAAACCATTGACTCGTACCTAATGGGATATACTGCTTCTAATGCCTAGTCTTAATTTTAAAAAATTGAAAACGTATCAGATGTGCATTTAGCTAAAATGATCCATCATCCTAAAGGTTATTAAGGATTCTACCTGGCCAAGAGCATTCTCTTCCTAACTCTAAGATGGAAGTAAGTGTGTAGAAGGAGTCACACAATAGCAAAATAATCGTCTTGATAACTAATAATTTTTTTTAAATAGTAGTAAATCTTTACTTACTGATTATTTTGCACAGAGATTTCTCTCCCTATAAAAGAAGAACCTTCTCCTATTTCCAAAATGAGACCAGTGACAGCCAGCATCACCACAATGCCAGTCAATACAGTGGTGTCCCGGCCACCACCCCAAGTCCAGATGGCTCCACCTATATCCTTAGAACCTATGAGCAGTTTATCCACCAGTTTAGAGAACCAGCTAGAAGCCTTCTTGGATGGAACTTTACCCTCAGCCAATGAAATCCCTCCACTACAAAGCAGCAGTGAAGACAGAGAGTCCTTCTCTCTGATTGAGGACCTCCACAATGAGCTGCTGAGTCATTCAAGCATGCTGGACCATTCACACTCACCCATGGAAACTTCTGAGGCCCAATTTGCTGCCAGTACTCCCTGTCTGTCACTTGACCTTTCTGACACAAACTTGGACAACATGGAGTGGTTAGACATCACAATGCCTACGACATCATCAGGTCTCACCCCTCTCAGCACCACCACTCCAAGTATGTTTTCTGCTGACTTTCTGGACCCACAAGACCTGCCGTTGCCCTGGGACTAAAATCACAGAGGTCCAGTCTCAGAGTTCATGAGGTTAAAGAACACGAAAATGATTCTCAAAGGTCAGTTATTAGAGATAGATCCATAGTTGCATCGTTGGAATTAAAAAGTATTGTCACAGAAAGAATGGATAGAAGGTCATAGCCTGGAAACAAGTCTGAAAACCTTGCACTGCACTTGGCAGTGAACTTCTACAGTTTAACATAGCAGAGGGCCTTCTGAAAATACACGAGTCAGGGAGGACTCATCTGTTGCTCCAGACTTCAGTAAAGATGAAAAGTACCTTTAGATGAAAACATAGAGAAGAGCCACGTATGCAGGAAAATGACATTAGGATTCTCTGGTAATCAACTACATTTAAACCTCTGTGGTCACTTTACAAAAGACAGACAGCTCCACTCAAAACCTGAGGCCTGTGTGAGAGAGGTGAGAGATCACTACGCTTGATATTTTCCTAGAGGTGGCCTGAGCCAAGCCCAAGACCCAGCGGGGCCACAGGCGGTGGAGAGCACTGGCAGTTGAGCGACGTGATGCATCCAGCTGATGACTTTGGGTTCCATTCAGAAACCTGTGTAATTTTTGTGTGTGTGTTGTAGTTTATTTTGTGATTTTTTGGAATCTTCCTTTAGATTCCCAAATTTAAATTTTAAGTGGAAGATCCTTCACCATAAGCAGAAAGTGTCTACAAAATACTGTCATAAGTAATCCACTGTAAAAAGTCCAGGTATATTGATAACACTGAAAATTACAGCCCTCTGGGTTGATTAGATTGATTTTAATGTGTATATTAGACATTTGTATGTACACCCTGACATTATCATTTGTACAACCTACATTGGGGTAAGGAAATGGGTATCCATTAGTCCTACTTCTTTGACTAACTCAAATATTTCTAGAGTACTTGAGCCACATGTATTTCTGTATTTAAAGACTTGCTTGCTGACTTTCAGGTAACCAGACCCATCTCAAAGAACCAAGAAAAGGCTTTAGCATGAAATATCTTTCTGAGCTGGTGAGTTGCAAGTAGAAGGCGAGGGGAAGTCTATCATCAACCCGGGACATTCCCATGTGGTCGCAGGCTAGGCCACACCACAAGGCCGGCTGCCAGGCCCAGGTCTGGCTGTCCCTCTTCTCTAGCTAATCCCTGGGTAGTGTTTTACAGGCTTGTACCTGGGTGTCATACCCAAGCTCTCACTATATTATCAAGCCTAAAACTGTAAAACTGGAGGTTTTATTAGTAGTTTTTTTGTGTTTGTTTTATATATATAGAAAAAAGGTATTACATATTTGCTGAGTAGTTTCTTAAGAATTTTCTAAAATGCCAACTATGGTGGGATTTCCAAATTTATTTCAGGCTACTCACATAGGTATATAACAAAATGTAAATAACTGAAAAAAAGAAAAAAACTGAAAGCTACCAGAAGAGTCTGGGGGTTTTTTATTAAAGAATATTATTGTCCCCTCCACCTCACCCTATATAAGCCCGGGGGTCAGGCTGATCTCCCTGGTGAATGTTCCTTTAGTGATATGCAGGAAGGCAGCCTGACCTATCATTTGGAAAGAATTTTCTAATCATTTCTGGGGTTGTGTTTTACCTAGGAGCTGAGCTTCTTTCAGCTTTCGTGTTTGGTTTTGGCTTATACGTTTTACTCCATCTAAGAACACTGTTTTCCGGCATCCAGTCAGCCGGACACTGGAGCCCTGTCCTGACTGGTACTTGCTAACTTGGAAGTGCGGCTGCGCCCTCAGACCTGTGTTTGAGGCAGAGGCTGTCCTGCTCAGCGGAATCTGTAAGGAAGGGTTTGAGTCTTTGGAAACTGGTAATCCAATGCATGGGATCCAGCAACTCTCTGTTAAGCAGAACATCGTCATGTGACCAAGCCCAAGCAGAGCGTGCACCATACTGGATGTGATGGGAACCCTTGAGTCAGGTTCCATTAAAGGGATCCTGTCTTCCGGGGCAGGAGTATTTACTTGGGAAGGTATTTCTTTTTGGTAGACCTTGGCTATGGGTTTCTGGCCGAAAATTTTGGTCAGGGGTTTATCAGGTCCATCTTTCGCCTCTGAGCACCATCTCCATTCAGATCTGAGTGGCTTCCTAAGTTAACACCACTTATCACTGGGACTGTAGGGTGCAACTGAACAACTCATGCTGTTAACTCTTGTTGAATCACTTTATATTTGCATAATCCTGAGTTGTGTACATAGATAGCTTTCTAGCCCTCAGGTCCTTTTATTGCTTTTAAAATAGGGTTTGAAACATGTCACAGGAAGGTTGCTCTCCAAAAGTACACAACGCAGTGCAAAGAACGCTAGCTCAGTAGCCTGTCCTCTCTTGGCTGTGAGTTGCTGAAGTGCCCCCTTCACGTATGTGTTCAAACCTGTGTGTATTTATTGTTTAAAAAGGCAAGGTGCCTGTAGTTATTAACCCTGAAGCCATCCCACTTGTACCATTCCTCTTGGCCCTCACCGCCAGGCTCGAGTGGCGAGCCCCAGGCTCTGTGACGTCCGTGCTGCTCTCCAGGACGTTAACTCCACCTTCTGGTTTAGAGTGAGTATACGGAAATCGTGCAGCACACGATGTGACCAAAGATGAGGCCCCTGTGACCTCTCTCAGTGTACATAATGGTAAGTGCAACGGGGAAGGGTGTGCATTTACTAAGGAAAATGGTGTCTTTATTTGTTTAAGGTTCGCCACATAGCTACTAAAGCACAGGTCAGAACAGCCCAGTTGAAGTTTCAAGATGCATGGGTGTAGCTTAGAGGTAGCACTGTTGTGTATCCTATTGCAGAATATCTTACGTTGCCAAGAAAGTAACTAACTCCTAGAAATGTATTCTCTCACTTCCCAGTCTTATTTCCCTTTATATTCTTGAAACACAGTAATAACAACTGTAGCGTTCTACTGCATCCAGCTATCAGAGCATGGTATTGGGGGTGGGCTGAGTAAGAAGTTACACCAAAGCTTCTATAAAGTCTTTGGAAATCTGGCAGTATGTGGTCATCTTGTACATTTCAGCAAAGCACCTACTAGGAAACCTCTTAGGCAGTTTTAATGGTTTATATTCTAGTGTTTTTTCTGAAATGTGCAATCTACTGTATAGTATTTGCCACATATTTGTACATAGATGTATTCTGAATTCGTGGAATTTCTTGCTCAGATACTATTTGTGTGTGTTTTATATGAATATTTTTGTAATACTGAAGAGCTTATTTAAATTTCCTTTTTAAAAGCTGCATGGTTCTGTGACCCGCGTCGCTGGCACTTTCTGGTTTCTAAGTACAGTTCACCCGCTGTGTCAGAGACAGCCTGGGGTTGGCCCCAAGCTCTGCCTGTCGAAGGAGAAGTCATGGTCATAAGATGGTGCCACCGAGCTGTGCAGCAGGTGACAGTGATGCCTGGGGCGTGTCCACCCCCTTGTCACCACAGCTGACTCGGGCTTCGTCCGCCCTCAGACCCTTCCAGACAGCCCAGCTCTCTGAGAGTCCTTTCAGGATTCCCAGGCTGAAACCCGCGCCAACAGCTGACAAGACAGCAGTCCCCACAGTGGTAGGGCGGTCCCTTTACTGTCCTCAAACGGACTTGGCCTTGGAGAAGGGGTAAAGCACTTTGGTGGACTTGCTCCTGTTTTCAGGAGCCCGCCTTGTGGTCAGCCTCCCAGAAGCCCCGGGCATCGGGAAGGTGGGGGCCTCGGGGCCCCCTGGGGACTTTCTGGGGAAGTTTAGAGAGAATTGCTAATCCGGGTCGACCAGCAGAGCAACACAGGTCCATTTAACCAAATTCACCAATAACCCTCCATTTTTTGCTATCCACCTCTGCAAACGTCAAAGCTGAATGTCGGCGACAGAGCAGAATCCAGCGCACAAATTGCCCTGCTGCGCTAGAGGCCACACGTTGAGCCCAAAGTTATCCGAGAACATTAACTGGAAGGTCAGTTTTCTCGATAAACACAGCTTAAGAGTGCGTAAATGTGTATTTGGAGAGCATCCTAACTGCGTTTCAGCTAATCGTTTAAGTGATTTCAGTCAAAACTGGAAAATAACAACTAAGGTGTAGACATTTTTTCCTGGCTCAAGCCTTCAATAACTTGTTCATTTAACAATCCTTCTGGGCTGCATGGTAATCGACAGGTCCGTGTTTTTCGTTTTTGTTTTTCTCCCCCCACTTCACCATTTCTTGCAGTATCTGAGGAGATGTACTATTGCAAGGGGTTTCTACCTAAAATCTTTCGTTTGAGGCCTGTAATTCAAAAAGCTGCACATGTTTACAAAAGAGCTCTTATCCAAACTCTGCTCTGTGAATCATTATTGGAAAATGTCACGATTTTGTGACAACAGGTGGCAATCTCAGATCTACACGGTGCTGTCTGAAGTCCAATAAAACACGTTATTGGAGATACCAAAATAACTGCAGTGTTTAACAGAGCTTTATGCCAACTCCTGAGATAAGGCTTTGACAAAGTTTATACAATCACTGAAACTCATACCAGTTATTACCTCTCTGCATTATGCTGTAAGAACACTTGCTAATTTGGTAGGAGGAGGAGGAAGCGTTTAGGAAAGGGTTTAGTATCTACCGGAAGTACTTAACGTCAAGTAACCAGTAGTAATGCAAACTTGCTTTAAAGGAACCAAAGGCATTGCCAAGTATTTGCCAAAAGGAGGCACTTTTTATTTAAAAGTTGAGACTAATGAGATCTCAAAAATCAGTCCCAAAAAGGTATTATCCACTTAAGGTTATAATTTTCAACAAGATGTAGATATTTCTCTATTATTTTCATGTAAAATAGTATAGATTTGTTTTGTTGGTTTAAGGATAATACATATTTAGTAGTAATACAACTTTTTTTTTCTTTCTAGGTAGAAATTAGTTTTCTCCTTTTCTTGCTTGCAGTAGACATGCTTAATGTGAGAGGTGTTTCTCTTATTTTCATTGTCATATTATGTCTTAGCATCTCACTTTATGAAAAAAGGAGAAAGATACCAATCCACAGAGCCCTCCTTGTTGACGCACTAGTTTAGTGAACAAAAAATTATGGCAGCCGGGGGTCCATTCATGTATTGCCTTTATGTTGTTTTTTAATAAAAAGAAAAACCATGATGCCTTTGTATTTGCTGTTTGCACCCCTGAGATCAATTCCATATCGTGTTTGAAATGCCATACGTTTTGCACATGTACTGTACATAGGTAATGCATATGTATTTTTTTATGTGTGCCCATTTATCATCGGATGTTTTGTACATAGTGGCAGTATTGTAGCTGATCGGGAAATGTTTGATATCTCAGCAATTTTGCATTTTTGTGTCTCAAATAAAAAACATTTTGACGTACTATGATTCTTGCTATGCAGAGTAAAGACCCGACCACTATGGGTGGGTAGAGCCTTTATAGATTGGGGTAGGGGGGGTTAAGGCAGAGGCATCCCCTTTAGAATGTCCACTCACAACAGAGAGCCCCCAGCAGACAAGCTCACCAAGGCAGGGTTTTGTAGATCGCACATAAAGTGAAGCACCTCCCCCAAGTCCAGGACCATGACATACAAAATAGAAACTCATAGGTACTAGGTGAACTTGAATACACCATGATTTATACCAGAGTGAGAATTTTCACCTCCCTTGTGGGAGATCCGGTTAAATTCCTGGCCAATGCACCTCATGCCCAGCTACTACCTGCCAGTCAGTGGAGGCTTGCGCGTTGCTGTGATGCTGAACCATTTCAGCGGAGCTTCCACACTAAGATGGGCTAGGAAGAAAGGCCTAGCAATTTCTACTTCCGGAAATCAGCCAGCAAAAACTCTATGCATCACAACTGCCAGATCAGCAACCAATCGTGGGGATGGCGTAGGACTGGGCAGCATTTCCTTCCGTTGTGCATGGGTCATGATGAGTCGGAGGCCAACTTGACAGCAGCTAACAACAACAATCCCTACTTTACATTTCTCTTTGCCCTATTACTATCTAACATCATATGTATTTTAGTTATTTTCTGTCTCATCAGACTATAAGCTCCATGAGGGCAGGGTTTTTGTCTGTTTTGTTCATTGCTGTATCCCAAGGCCTAGAACAATCCCTACCTAGCACATAGTTGGTGCCCAATAAGCATTTGCTGATTGAAAAAATATATATATTTACATCAACATGATGTTTTTTCTTCCAAGATCATAAGGACACATTGAATGACTAGCATGATCAAGTTTGGCATTCTCACGAGGGGGTGACATACACATATGTGCACAGTGAAAACAGATTCCCACTTTAATAAATACACCACCAACAAAATCCCTGTGAGACCTTCAATTTAGGCAGGTTTCAAAAGGCAAGTTTTATAGATGATATAAAAGTAGTCTTTAGAATTCAGTATTCCTTTAGTAAAATGGCATTGGATTTTTGACCCAGAAGCCCATGCTTAAAATAGAGGTTTACGAAGAACAATATTAAATATTCCTCTTTACTTTGGAGAAACAGAATGGTAATGAGTGAACTTGATTGACAGTCATAACTTTTATATCAACATCTGATTAAGAAGATGGACAAAGTCCAGCTTCCACACACAGATCTGAACCTTCTTGCTGCCCCGGCTCCCCAGAGCTGGACCCACATGGGTTGCAGCGTCTTCCACCATCAGACCAAGGCCTGTCTTCTCAGGAAGGGATGGGAAAGGCCCTTTACAAATGGCACCAATAAAACTGCCCTGGAAGGAGCATACCCTAACCAAACCCATTGCTGTCAAGTCGATTCCGACTCATAGCAGCCCTATAGGACAGAGTAGAACTGCCCCATAGGGTTTCCAAGGAGTGGCTGGTGGATTCAAACTGCTGACCTTGAGGTTAGCAGCCAAGCTCTTAACCACTGCGCCACCAGGGCTCCAGAAGGAGCATAGGTGGGGGAGGAGGGGAAGATGAGTAAAGTATCCACCACAAAAAAGAGAAAACGATAATTGATGACCTAAATACAACAAAGTGTTCATTATCTATGGCATTTAGGGAGCAAGAAAGCAGCCTCAACAGACAATAAAAGTAGATGATGATTCAAAAAAGGCTAAAACGTGTAATACATCACGTTACCAGACATAGATCTGCCCTCAGGAGAGGAAATGTGAATATTAACTACTCATGTGAGAGAAGATGATGTCAAAGGGAGCACATAACATGCTTCAGGAGCTCAGAGAAGCTGGCAAGGGATATAGCAGGTGGCTTCAGGGAGGGTCTCATGGACGAGCTGGTGTTTGAAAATGGAAAGGACCTTCTAAGCAGAGAAATCTGCTTGGGCAAGGTCAGAGTTAATTGGGAGAAGTTCTGATTAAGCCCCTGCTATGTGCTAAGCAAAGGAGTCCCTGGGTGGCGCAAACGGTTAGGCGCTCGACTACTAACAAAAAGGTTGGTGGGAGGAATCCACCCAGAGGTGCTTCAGAAGAAAGGTCTGGTGATCCACTTTCCAAAGATCACAGTCATCGAAAACACTATGGAGCACAGTTCTACTCTGACACACATGGAGTTGTAAGTTGGAATTGACTTGGGGGCAACTGGTTTGGGTAATTTGGTTGGTTGGTTGGTTTCTTTATGTGCTAGGCAGCAGGCTGGGTGCTGGATCCTGGCTGCAGGGCAGACTCCATGAAGGAAGTGCTAAGAAAAAAATCTGGAATAATACAGGTCTGCAAGGCTCACTAGGCCAAAGACTGAAGATGTAAGGGCTTAAGTAACCCATTGAGGGTAGCACCTCAGTGCACTCCTGCTGCTGCTGTACTTGTCAAAAGCATCCAAACTCCAGACAATTCAAACACTGGCATTGTCATGTTCAAAGCTGAAGTTCGATTGATGGCAAGAAGAGATGTGGCTTTTGTTCATGTTGATAGTTAAAAATTCAGTTCTTCCTGTCCGAGATTCAAATGTAGGCCTTTGAGAACTTTGATATGTTTTCTCACCCATACCTGGATGGAGCCCAGGTCATGCTAAGCAGAATCACAAGCAAAGATTGTCTACAAATGAAATTCTGTAGACAAAGAGTTCAGTTACAGTGGTTTTGTTACAATACTTCTTCAAGCACTAGAAAAGGTCTACAAAGAAAAAAACAAGGAGCCTTACTTTCTTAAATTGTGTCTGTTAAGCAGCTTGGAAAGTTGACCAGGACATCAAATTCACTAGATATACAGAAACTACAATATTATTAGTTGCCATCGAGTCAGCTCTGACTCATGGTGATCTGTGTATAACAGAATGAAATGTCACAATACCAATATACAAAATTCAAATTGGATCATACACCTAAGTGTAAAATCTAAAACTTCTAGAAGAAAACAGAAGAGAAAGCCTTTGTGAGTTTAGATTAGGCAGTGATTTCTTAGGTACAACACCAAAGGCATGATCCATTAAAAAAAAAAAAACACATTATAAATTGGATTTTATCAAAATTTAAACCTTCCCCTCTCCCAAGGACATTGTTAAGAGAATAAAAAAAGCAAGCCATGGACTAGGAGAAGATACTGGAAATCATATATCTGATAAAGGACTTATATCCAGAATACATAAAGAACTCTCAAAACTCAATAAGAGAACAAACAACACAATAAAAAAAATAGACGGGGGATTTGAACTGACACTTCATCAAAGAAGATACACAGATGGCAAATAAACACAGGAAAAGACGCTCAATGTCACTAGTCATTTAGAGAAATGCAAATTAAAGCTACAATGAGATACCACTACACATTATTAGAATGGCTAAAATTAAGAAGTCTAACCATATCTAGTATTGGCCAGGACGTGGAGGAACTGGAACTCTATTACAGTGCTGCTGAGAATGTAAAACAGTACAACCACTCTGGGAAACAGTTTTCAATTTCTTAAAAAGATAAATATACACCTACCAGATGATCCAGACGTTCTGCTTCTCAGTATTTACCCAATAAAAATGAAAGCTTGTGTCCATTCAAAGATTTGTACACGAGTGTTCATAGCAACTTTATTTGTAATAGCCAAAATCCGTCCACCAACAGGTGAATGAATAAACAAACTGTGGTATTCCATACAATGAAATATCACTCAGCAATAACAAGGAATGAATTCCTGGACACAATAATATACAGCATGGATGAATCTCAAAATAATTACACTGTATGAAAGAAGCCAGGAAAAAAAAGAGTACATACTACAGGTGGTCCCCTACTTACAACGGGGTTCTGTTCCGACAAGTTCTGCTGTAAGTAGAATACTTGTTTTATTTTTATTTTTTAATTTTCATTATTAATGCCTTTTATTATCAGTATCTTTATAAATCCAGTCTTTCTTTGTCTTTAGGGGTTGGAAACATTACATATAAACTGACAGATATAATTTTGTATGTAGTACATATTACTAACAATAAGATGCACACACACATACACCAAAAAAAAAAAAAAAACCAGACAGTTGTAGTGCGGTTCAGTTCGTTGTAACTTGAATACATTGTACATCGGGAACTACCTGTATTTGATTCCATTTATAGAAAATTTTAGGATGTGCAAACCAATGTATAGTGATGGTAAGCAGAAGGGTAGTTGTTGGGGGAGAGGGAGAACACCAGGGAGAGATGGGAGCCAGGATTACAAAAGGGCAGGAAGAATCTTTGATAGTGATAGATATGTTCATTATCTTGATTGTGATGCTGGTTTCACAGGTGTATAGGCAAGGCTTAGAGAGGACCAGTCATCTTTGTTTATCCTGCATCAGCTAGAGCAGCTTGAAGGCTTGTGGCTGGAACCATCTGGTGATAGATGCTGACAGTGGAGCTGTCAGGCGGAACACCTACATGTGTCCTCTCCATGTAGCTTGGGCTTCCTTACAACGTGGCGGCTAGGGATCCCTAGGGTGAGCATCCTGAGAGAGAAAGAGCCAGACAGAAGTTATATCACCCTTTCTAACTTGGTCTCTGAAGTCATGCAGTGTCCCTTCTGCTGCATTATGTTTGTTGAGGCAGCAAAAGCCCTGCCCATATTTAAGAAAAGAGGAATTAGGCTCCACCTTTTGATGGCAGGAGTGCAAAGGATTTGTGAACATGTTTCAAAACCGCCACATCCTCAGTGCCATAATTTTATCAGAGAACATAAAGAATTCTCCCTGGGTGAACTTGGTTAAATTTACACAGAACACAGCAATAAATGACGATGCCGACACCTCCATCAGCCTCTGCCTTTAATGCAATTCTGAAAAAGATGTCTGACACAATCTCCCCTTAGTTCTTCCATTAAAAAGAAATCAACAATATGTCACCTCCAAGTCAAGTTGCATGGTGACCACCAAAACCAAACCAAACCCGTTGTCGTCGAGTCGATTCCAACTCATAGTGACCCAAGACTTCCTGCTGC